CAGATGGAATTTATCAACCATTACTACTCAGTTGCTATATTACTCTTGTTGCGAGAGTAAATATAGCATATACTCTTGCATATCGTAGTGTATATGCAAGAGTCTTGCATATCCACTTGGCAATTACAGTGCACCAGAAGAGCGAAATGTCAGGCATTGAATTTGGTCTGACGCGATTGCGACGAAAAAGACGATGGAGCCACTGTACTCTCAATCAACTTCTACAAGAACTCATTCTCAGATATGATGATGATCAGGTGTTTTAGAATACTGAATGAGCATTATAATTGAATATACAGTATTGTACATAGCATAGAAAAGGTCAGTGAAAGGAGTTGAACTGTACATGTTCAACAAACACACAGTCGTGACAAAGCGAAGGTTAATCTACTTTAATCGAACTGAAAATGGTGAACACCCCTGAATATTATTTCCGCTGCACTACGGAATTTCAATGGCAAAACTACCCTTGTCAAATATTAAGTTCACCCTCACTCCACGAGATTCTGTATCCAGTGATCGAAACTCTTTTTAGCTTGAATTAAGCATGAATTTAAATGTATTTTAATCTCTATGAATGTATCTACGTAATGAATACTGTATCCACATTCCATAGTACCACGAAGTGTTCGACGTTTGGTCGTTACGAAAATTAATTACTCCCAGTTGTGGTGCTTTCCGCGGTACATGTGTTATTATAGCGATGTTTGCGGTTTGCGGTTGTGTGTGTGTGTGGGGGGGGGGGGGGAGACAGGCGTGGTCACTTGCGGTTAGATAACAACTGTATCGTCATAGTATCATTGTAAACACACAAGTGTAGGCCTATACAGCTATTGCATGGACTGTGATGGGATTTGATCCGATAGATGCGTACTTGTGGAGGTGTGAATGGTATTGTGAATTTCTGCTGAGAGGTTCAAAAGTATTGAAATGGGTTTGGAATCGTTGAATCGGTCAAAATAATTTCAAATATTGGAATGACGCGTTAATTAATGAACGTTTAAAACACTTTTTCTGTTCCTAAACAAATAATTGTATTTTGTAGTTGTATTTTATTTCGTGTGTTTCGATGCCATTTGCATTTTTACCGTTGATAAATCAGATTTTCACATAAATGGCTTCAACTATTTCGATTAAAATTGTGATTTCCCCAATATGTCATAGTTACTCCTCCGCTTGCTCGTTATAAGGATTGTTGACAACTACAAGCTAATAGATTGCTGATATCGTTTATTATTTACATTTCTGCTAGGAAACTGTCCTAACTCCAGTAATGTATCTAGGATGGGCGTTTTGATAGCAAAATTATTTGATACTCCGATGACAAATATCTGTGTACGGAATTGACATCGTTCAGGAACGAACCAGCTACCTTCAGTTTTGAAGGCGAGCGCAATAACCACTTGGCTACTCCCACAAAATTTGTTTTTGGTATTCTCTTTGTTTTAAATTTACGTCCATCTTTGTACTTTCCAGAGAGTCATCTAGAAAAATATTGTAAGAACCCCCTCAATGCATATTATGTGAATAAATATTTTGTCATTGACGACGATAATCGGCAAAAAGCTAACAATGGTTTTATTTCTTGTCGTATCTTATTAAATAATGCTACCAGTAAATATTTGTGTTTCCTAACGTCAATAGGGGGGTTCCCTTTCACTCAACATTCGTAATTTCATATATTATTTAATATACCCTACTTCACGTTTAATTTACAAAGAAAATGTTACAATGCAAAGTAGTATTATTGTTAAATTATTAAAGATAAACTCTTTTCGGGCCTAGTGAAATAGTCATATCATAATCAATATATAGATTTACCTGCCACGATATCGTGTTGGCCGTGGCATCATGACGTCAACAAAACAGCTGTCAATCATTACAGCTGGTTAGTGATACACTGTTGTTTACTTTGGTAAAAACGTTACAAATTACTTTAGTGCTTTTTGTCTCGAATCATGAAATCCATCAAAAGACGCTTTCGACTTAGACAACTCGAGGAGTTTGCTGTTGACAAATTTATGAAGGTTGACAGTTTTATACGCAAACCGGTTCATCCTACGAAAAGCAAGATGGAGGTAATTCACGTGTTTAGATTTTAGCTGAAGACGATTACAAGATATGAGTAAGATAAGAAGCTGTTTTTAGCGAGGTTTTTTCCTACCAAACAGTTTTCGAGCAACATACTTTCGCGTCTTTTCTAGCAGAGTCGCAGCTATATGAATTATTCTATACTAGGTTATGTTTTAGTTAGGTTAGGTTATGTGTACAGTATAGGACAACATTTCAAAATAGTGGTTACCCTCTTCTTGAAAATACCCGTATTTTTAGTACGATTGTTATTTTTAACATCAGCTTTGTAGGACAAAAGTCTTGACCATAATGGCTAGTCTTATGTTTAGTTTACTTTGTTGTCTTGTTTTAGAAACACTCACTTCTTAAGTAAGAATTCTAGGTTATTCGTTTTTTTGGTAATTCTTCGTATGAATTTATTGTTGCATGAATATTCTAAACACAACTAAATCATAACTTGAATAGGTCGAAGTTACTCCCATATTTTGCCGAATTTGAATCTCCCTCTCATATTAGTTTCCATAAACCTTATTACTTAAATGTGTTTTAATGATGAACTTAAATCATAGTAAAATTTACTTTTTGTTAAATAACGATCGAATCTATGATTCTTAATTGACTAAAGACAATTGTGTAGGTGCACTTATAAAATGACTTGAATTGAGTAATAAACCATTGTTTTATGTCACACTCCATCGATTTAAAAATTCAGGGATTGTGGTTTCCTAAATTTGATCCACTTATTGGTTGTTTACAACACGAATTTCAGTAGACCTGCTTCGGCGTTTTGTAGAGTATGAGGGCTCAAGGACTTTGAAAGGAACGCCCATACTGTAATACACGTTGCCCGGCTTTCCTTTGTCTGTGTGTTTCCTTTATGTGTATCTTCACATTTTTTTCGAAAACTTGTCCATAATCTATATTTTGACTTCTGGTTCATTGAAGAACTTATTAGCAATTATAGCACGTATGAAAGTTAACCGTAGTTATATATATATATATATTATGGTTATTTCAAAGTTAACAATAATTTGTAATGAAAAGTATCCCTTCTCTTTGAGTGTCGTTGCGGTTTTCAACATTTCAACTGACATCACTACAGTATTTATCGTTTGGCTTATCTCTATGCGTGTGTTGAACCAAGTAATCTTGGCAGAACTTGTGCTGAACTTATCTGAAGGTTCATTATCTCTAGTCTGTAATGAAAAGTACCTGTTCTCATGGAGCGTTACCGTTTTATCTGTTATTACTATTTTAACTTATCTCTATGCGTGTTCAACATCAGTAATTAGTACCAGATAAGCTGAGCAACTGTGTTGCATTTGCTGATTAACTTCCTTGTTTTGTAGATAACTAGTATACATAGTTTGTGGCTAAATAAATACATAAAGTTTTTTTCTTTTCAATCGTTGTGGATTGTCCCAGTAGAAAAGGAATCTGTTACTGTACCGCTGTACCATTATGCATATTTACATTATTGATCTGGATTTTATCATAGTTTTTCTTCATTCTCGACTAAGTATTTATGATTCTACACTAGCAGTTTTCCTTGAATTTAATCAACGCTCTTAAAGGAACATATAGAATAAATATTATAAAACAACAAATTAGCAATTGCCATACCTGAAGAACATAATTTTTGTAATTTCATACCAGTTATCCACTGTCGTGTAAACACAGCTTAAAACCAGTCCTGTAAACAAATATTCACAATTTTAGATAAATTGATTAGCTTTATGATTGTCCATTAATGGACATTTTTATCATATTGCTAATAAATTTTTGTTTTAGTTGGGAAAGGTCCTAGTTAAAATAACAGTGAACTTTTTGGATTATCTTAGTTCAGTGTACTCAGTAAAGGAATTTTTTATCTAAGAAGATAATAGAAAACCAATGATTGTAGAGCAAAAACTACTTTATATTTTGTTTATTTTGACGGTGTGTTTCTTAAAGAAATTATACATGTTTGTCGATTGTCTATAGTGAATAAGATCATCTTATTTCATTCTAGGCTCATCCTCTTCTCCTATTTTGCCTAAAATACACAACAATGTGTCGCTAAATTAATAAAATTATTTTTTACTAGCTCTCATTAATACAACTACAATACTTTACTTCATCAGTAGTGCAATTGTATCATTCAATTAACAAGACAAAGCAACACCATTGACTGTAGATGTACTGTGTATATATAATCAATGGTAACACTAACGATGTTGATGTTGACTAGTGACGTTAAACTATAACAACATCGTCACATATGTAAGTGATGAGACTTCGCAATCATAATCAAGTCACAGGCAAAGATGTGGTTATTACAAGCAAGATGTGTATGTTGGTTGTGCTGGAAAAATACTTGTAAATTTGTACATAAAATGCTTTCTGTTTGTTTCTTTCGGTTAGACAAGATTGTTGTGGTTCTCGAGAAATGTAAGGTAAATCGTATATGATGATAGTGTACAAGTGTTTGAAAATATTTCTGATACAAGGAGTAAATGAAAGAGTTTACGTGCTACAATTTTCTTTAATCATTGTAATGAAAAATGACTTTTTTTGTGATATTCAAAACCCAAAGGTCATTTTTGTAATTGCACAGGTTCTTTGAATGATATTTTTATTGAATTATATTCTGTATACTATAAATTGAATAGTTATTAATCGGCACTCAAAGATGAATCAAATAACGTTGCATAATTTTTAAGCACTAGTAGTGATTTTTGATTGTTACAACATCTGGAACTACTGTTCAGAATATGGCAGTAACTAAATCTTGTGTAACACCAAATCCAAATAAGTTTTGTAATCTTTTTCAATCCACACATTCATTCACTTTTAGTCTTACTTTTAGTACCCCCCTGTTTCAGCATGTACTGTACACTGTACCCAACTATAGTACGCTCAATCTGACCTGTCCTGTTTGCCCCCAGGTGTTGTCTATGAGTGAAGAGCTACGGAGGGCGCTGTATGCTAGTTCTTCTCTTGACCTCGAGCTTTGCCTTCCCGACCTCAACGGAGTCACTGAGATACTCTCCGAGGACCATCGCAAGTCTCTGTGTCGCCATCTACCCGCCAGAGCCGAAGGTAAAGATTCAAATTTCTAAGAAAATAATACAAGGTTGTTTGTAGCACTTGACTGGTCACAGCCATTTTAGGAAGTACTTACGGACAGTAACTTGAGTAGTTAGTAACTCTGTATTTTGTGAAACTGCCACACGGCTCTTTAGAGAGTGTGAGGCTCTACTTCGATCAAGAAGTAGGTTCTGAGATAAACACGTTAAATTTTACCCATACTTTAGACTCCTCGGGACCGAGGCCAGTCCGGATAACGGTTTTCCCGGTTAAACCAACGTCCCATAAAACTCTATATATTAGGAACGTTTAATGCATAATATATCAATCAATCAAAAACTATTTACTTACATTTTAGAAAGCATTTTATTTACACAAGCTGTTATCACTGATCTGAAATCTTTCCCACGAGAAAAGTTGTTTCTACTGACCACTTCCTGCCGATCCAGTCCGTTTAAACCGATGGGCTGATAAAAATTGTCTTGTTAAAGAGATGTCATTTCTGCCGAGTGTAGTCCGGTTAAGCTGATGTCCAGTTAAAAGTTTTCCGGAGTCTATTGTATTGTAATGCTTCTTTTGAGCTGTATAAAGCTCGAATTTTTAGGCATTAGAGCGATACAATAAGCGAACATGCTCATGTACATAGGACTGTCTGTAGTACAGGGTGTTTTTTTTCCAACTAGATTTGGGATTGATTTCCATATTACTGTATACTATGTCAATAGGTTGCGGCATTATCATATGGATAAAATCTATTTTTAACGGAAGTTTTTGAACCCAGGACATTGGGGACTAAAGTCCCGTACCTACTCTCTCCCTGTAGGACAGGGTGTTGGGAATTATAGTTATAGTTCCCTTCAATCTATAGTTGTGGACAATAATTTAACTAGGCCTCTTTAAAGTAGTTTTGTGATAATTTCAGTTTATGTGCACTTAATATCATGGAAGATGTGTTGTGGTCAATTTTTGCAGTCAGTGTTGCAAGAAAGCAAATAAATAAGTCTGATCGACGACGACGCTCACTATGGTCAAGACTTTGTAGTAAAAAGACAAACATTTTCATAATCGTTTCTCTGTTCACGTTTGAATCTACTGCTTTGTAGTTTTCAACAAGACTGGTTCTTCTTATTACGGTCACTATGATCCTTACTCTTGACCTTTCATAAACAAGATAACTTCTGTACAGTTCGATGAATTTGACAATAAACCCACAGGAACATTGGCAAGGATCTGCCATCAAAAAACACCTATCCTTCTGACAGCACGTAAAGACTGGAGACTGGGGTTTTAAGCGTGACAACAGTATCGAAAGGGATGACAGTGTACACACGCAACGACTTGTCTGAATACGTCAAAACTATGCTCTCCTCAAAAGTTTTATCTCTCTGGTTTCCGTCTCTGCGCAGTTCTAAAAAATGCAGTTTTGCTGTCCACATGCAACGACTTGACTGCAACATTTTACCTGCACAGGTAAAACATACGAGAAATCCTTGCATGTGGACCGGCCTTTAAATTTATTGAAATTTTACTGAACCTGTGATGGAAAGATCCTTAAGTAAATGTTAACTTATCCACGGCTATAACCAGTTCTGCAGTTCGTACAACACTTGCAATAACGTTCGGATATTAAATATCCATCCATGGTCAAAATCACTAGTCATTCAAGAACTCCTTTATCCAAGTAACCCATTACTTTCATGTTAGCTATACAAACAGTTCAAAGGTTAATCAAAGAATATCAGTTGTATTTCCTTATGAAACCGGATGACTCTGCATATACAATGTTGTTTACCAAACGCCTATTTGTGAACTAACATTTGTTTGGAATGTGTCTAATCTATGACTTGAAATACACTGTCACCACTTTTAAGTTTTATCACAAAAACAAATTTATGAACAATAATTATTATTGGACAAAAACAAAAAAGACTGGTTATTTTCTTTTGCATCAATCTCAATATAAATCAAAGCCTGTTTATGATAATTACACTTTATATACAGTTGTAGTTATTTAGTACCTTAAGCTTTGACTATCAGTTTTTTTTTACGTTCTCCCCCAACATATACATATACATGGAGTATATGGAGAAAGTATTGTTATGGTCAACATTTTTGAATGTTTGAATTTTGACTGGAAATATCCGTTTTTTATCTCCCTGAATCCTAAATATCGGTTTTCAAAGCGACGGTTTTCAACCCTTATTACTGCAAAAATTACCCCCACCCCTTACCCATTATGAGGGTTGTTTTCAAGCTAATGGGAGAAAGCATGTGTCAGATTGATGATTTATTGTAAGCGTAAATCTGATAGTGAACTCAAGAGTCTAGCTAGATCATTAGACCGGTCAGTGCTGATATTGATAAGTTTTTGACCCTAGATAACCTAAAATCTGACCTCTCAGTTGGGACGATAATTTAGCTTTGCACTGATATTGTCCCAATTTTTTTGCAAAACAGTTTTTAATTTCCAGGAGGTACTTTGGTTTATTTCCATAAAGCCGGTTGTAAACATGTTTATCTTATTTGCTGTGTAAATTAGTTTATTATTCAAAGTATTATTGCTTACTTCAATATTTATATTATTAGCATATCTGGGTTGTTTAGTTGTATCTGTTTGAGAACATATTTATGTGTAAATGTAATATATTTATATTCATAACAAATTGGAAAGAGTGACATACTATCGACATATTGTCATGAGTAACCAAAATATTAATACCTTTAATTTACAATATTTAAATTTTCAAACTACATATTTTCATTAAGTTTGTTATATTTTGTATCCAAATATATATCTTACCTAGGTACAAAACACGGCTATTACTGACCAAAATAAGTCAAAAGACAATGGTTCAAATGTTTTTACAAACTCTAATTTCTAAATAGGGAACTAAACCATTTAATCTTCTTATGGCCATTTACAAAGTTGGATATTAAAATTAGAAAGTGTATTTCAATCTGATCGTTTTCTATTCAGCATCATTAGTTTGGAAGGATAACAAGAAGTACAAAAACAAATTAGTAAACTTGATTGAAAGAAGCCCTTGAATCTAAATCAGGTCCAACCCAATTGTAACTAGTAGTGAAGGTGTTGCGAACATTGGTCAGAAAGTTTTGAGCAAACCGAGACTTATTGTAATTCTTTCGTATTTATATAATTTCATATTTAATATCTTGTGATTATTTTCTATGTAGGCCTATTACAAAAATACACGCAAAACAAACTTGATTCCTTATTTTGCAGTGAATCATCTTCAACTCAGTATGTAAGTGAATTGTAGTGGTGCAATATTATCGAGAAGCTGGGTTAAGTTCGTAAACAGTTGGTTGCAATCTGCGTTGTGTGTCATGGTTGTTTACGATTGTAACTGCTGTTGTTCACCTATCACGCAATCACACACGTGAGATGGAAAAATAATACCTTTGAGTGTATTATTAAACTTTGATGAATTATTTTTATTTTTTAATATTGATTGAGAGTGGTTAAATTTTTAAAAGTTAAATTACTGGAAGTGGAATTTACCGAGAACTTTAACCACTCCTGTAGATGTATTTCCAATTATCCTCTAATTCCTTTGACACATAGGCAATCCTGATTGGATCAATGAAAGCAGTTAAAAATTTTCAGCATAGGTATTTGTTTGGAATTTTTTTTATAGTTTCAATCTATATAAAGTTCTCCCAAATTATACCTTGAGCATTAAAAAACGCCCCACGTTTTAGCCGTGTACTAAATAATTAAAATTGTCCTCTCCCCTTCTCTAATTATTAATGATTCATTGTCTAAACAAAAAAAATTGTATTAGTTCGTACAAAATAATTCTGTAGGCTTATAATTATTAGTTTGCTTGTAATCAGAAATCAGAAATCAGAAAATCAGAAATCAGAAACGTTTTATTGTCCTTCAACATTTACAACAAATGCAATAGACAAAAGTCAAGAAAATTCAGCTATTACATAAACAGCCTATTTTTAGGCAAAACAAAACAAGCCTAAAAACAAGTCAAAATAGGCTATACTAATACATATGCTTACAAATAAAAAACAATGTGGAAATGTGAGGACATTAAAAGTTAACTTCGTCAACCTTAAAATATTCTTCTAAGTCATAAAAAGGATTTAAAAGTAACCAATCCTGAGCTCTTTTTTTAAATGACTTAAGGTCCAATTCTTTGGCATTGATGCTAAGCTTATTAAATAATCTTAATGAAATAACATGGTAACTATTTTTACATTTACTTAACCTACAATAAGGCACGTCTAATAGGAACTGATTACGTGTGTTGTGTGAATGGATATTAAACCTATAAACATGGGAACTAGTATTTTTCTTAACCCTAAGTAAACACATAAATATGTACAGATTAATCACAGTCAATATTCTACTTCTTATGAACAATGGTTTGCAATGCTCTTCAATTGGAGCTTTGTTTATTATTCTAACTACCTTCTTTTGGAGTATTAACACTTCACTTATGTGACTACTGTTTCCCCAAAGAATCAAGCCGTAGCTAATTATGGATTGGAAAAATGCAAAGTAGGCTACCCTTATGTAGGTTTCAGGTACAACACCCATAAGATTTCTAAGCAAACAGATTACTCTGGACAATCTTGCACAAACCAAATCTATCTGAGGAGACCAGCTTAAACATTTATCAATTTTTATTCCTAAAACTGTAATTACATTTTCATTGTTTACATCTTGTGACTCTACTGGAATGTTTTTAAGACTACACAATAGATTTTGAGTTTTATTCTTATTAAGACAAAGGCTATTAGCATTAAACCACATATAAGCTGAATCAGTTGTGAGCTCAGTTACTGACATAAGATCATAAAAGTTGGGATGAACACTCAAAAAATTGGTGTCGTCCGCAAACATGATGGTAGAGGATCTTTTAATATTGGCTGGTAGGTCATTGATGACTGTGATAAAAAGAAGGGGGCCTATAATCGAGCCTTGTGGCACACCTGAGCTAACTTTCAAGCAGCTTGACATCTTGCCTCCTGCATCAACGAATTGAGTTCTCTCTCTCAGGTATGAATCAAAAAACTTAAGCTGTATACCGCGGATGCCATAGTACTCCAGCTTAGTGATGAGTATGTTGTGATCAATACAGTCAAATGCTTTACTCAGATCACAAGCTGTGATCTGAGCAAAGCTCGACTCCTCAAAAGCTCTCAAAATCTTAGAAACAAGGTGGTCCAGGGCATCCACGGTAGACAAACTTTTACGAAAACCAAATTGAAAATTTGAAAAAATTTTGTTTGTGTCAAAAAAAGAACATACCTGAGGTTTGATGACAGCTTCAATGATCTTGCCAATGTAATGTATTTATACCACTCTTTGAACTCCGAGGGAACTTCAACTTTCATATTAACTCGTATTAACCAGCCGTAAGTTAGTTAAAGTTTTATGATGTTTTTCATATATCTATGGTCAGGTATCCTGGAAATTTTGATGTTATTTTTATTTTCTCTGTGATAAAGTCCAATTAATTGGTTGGTTATTGTTTTATCATCTGCTAATGAGTTGGCACTCTGAGTGGAAAAGTGACTAACTCCGAAGAAGCCAGACAAGTTTAGAATGTAATTTGAGACCATTTCTAGTGACTTGCTTCTACTACTTACAGCCATTAGTACTGTAATGTGAATATAATATTGTTAAATCAATATTTTAATCTTTTATTTAACAAGACTTACAATTATTTACCAACTTCCTAATCATTGGCTTATGACTCTTTCACAATATCAAAGACATAAAAAGTGTGTTGTACTACGAAATCAATAGAAACTTAAATGCAAACTTGAAACAAGTCACAAAATCTGCTATCCCAGCTTTAATTGGTTAGTTTTGTGGGTCGGTGCCTCGGATGGTAGCACGTAAGACCAAGGCAAGTGATGTTGTGGGTTCACAACCTGTAGAACACACTTATTTTTTATTTTATTTTTTTTTTTTAAAGAGGTTGGCGGCCTCTTTTAACCTTGCATTTGCCCGTCCACATAGACTAAGCACCCGTGCGTGGATCGTTTACAGCAAAGCAAGGAGTGAGCCGGTACAGTACAAAGGTGAACTGTACTGATAAAATGTTATCGGCAGTGACCAGGATCCGAACCCACGACATCGCTGCCTTGGGCCCGAAGTCCGCGACGCTACCGACTGAGCCACCGACTCACTAAAAAATTATTAAAATTTGTCAGAACATTTAATTTTGTTACTGTACAAGCTTACTCCTGGCTTTGCTTAATACGTCCATGCTCAGTCATGAGGTCCATGTGGAGAGACTAATTTAAAATTTAAAGAGGTCGCCTACCTCTTTTTCAACATCTTAAAAAAGTAATATACACTGACACTGAGTATTGACACTGCCAGTAAACTCCATCTATTTTGCCCGATGTAAATTAATGGGGTCCATTTGTTAATACAATAATACAGAGTCTGTTGTTGGAATTGTTTTCTAAATGTTGTTGTCATTTTGCAGGATATGTCTGGACGTTGGTGTTCAGCACCTCACAGCATGGCTTCTCCCTCAACTCCATGTACCGCAAGATGACAAGGATAGAGAGTCCGATCCTGATGGTCATCCAGGACACGGATAACAACGTAAGTTGACGTTAACTTTACGTAACTGTATAATAAAAGCACTTGAAACAAAATCGGGTCTGTACCAGAGTCTAAACCTTTTAAACTGAAACTAGACTCCATACCACATTCACCGTACAATACGGAGCGTCCATAAGCCATTTGATTCAAACACTTTCAATGATACTAGCTATCCTAAAACATCAGGACTCGCAAAACGTTCATTTACTCTTTTCCTACTTTTCTTTACTATTAAGTTTGACTATAGTTAAGTCTAAAATTAAATCATCGAAACAGTTAACCAATCTATAAAAAGCATAAGTGAAATGTAATTCAGCGCCATTATGATGGTCGTGAGAACGGTTTACGCAACCCACATGACAATAATCTTGATGTTTTCAGCACAAATATATCCCTTAAGACCTCTACTGTGCAGCCTTTATAGGTTAATAATTGCATTTTAAATTTAATTGAGGACGGTTAACTAAAGGTTTTGTACCTATCCTTTTTTCGCTGTTAACATTTTTAATTTGCTATGAGATTTTGTTTTGTCACATTAGATTACCTTTGTTGTTTTTGCCTGTGTTCTTGAGTAGATAAGATGTTTGTGTCACCCTATGCATTTTGTCAGCTTTTGTGGCATCTTTAGGGTTCTTCTTAATTTATTTTCTTATCACTAATACTATAGTCTATATTTGCAAAAATATTTACACAAGCGCCGTCGCTAGTATCATCCTGGATAAGAAACTTTTGACAACAACTTTCACTGAAACTCAAATCAAATGAATTCTTTAGGCTGATTTTACGTGGCTAAAAATAAACACTCTTTACATCCTGCAATGTAGATGGTTAAGTATTTAAAATGTAAATGAGCACGATTGTGATGCAAATGCAAATGATTACTGTAGAGGAAATGTATGAGTGTTGTCATTATCTGGATGTTCAATAAGAACAACGTTGTGAAATGAATACAGGATAATTGACAGTAGCAACTATTGCTCTTTCAAACTGAGATATTACCAATAAGTCTCGACAGGGAAAAAGATGCTGACAGATCGATATTTGCACACAATTACACCTGTCGAACGTCTGCACTCATTATTGTTAAGAGTCAGACTCATCACGGGTCAATGAGGGAAGGTTTTCCTTCATCTACATTGGTAATGGCTCTTTAACAACTGGATAAACTATTTATGCTAATGGCAGTTGTAATGTGTGCATTACCGTAATGTTTATGTGCTTCTATCGCAATATATGGGCGCAGTGACTTATTTACTTGTGTGAAGTTTCACTTTTGAATGGTTGTGGCAAAATATCAGCTAAATATAAATATGAAGTTGAAACATCTATATATATAATTAATATTAAGGAAGTGCAATGTTAAATGATGAATCATTCTCAAGACATAAAAATAACTAAAACCGCCGCACCGTACACTTTTGTGTAACTGTTTTCATAATATGAAATTCTGTGAAGATAGCAAGCTTATCTGAATGGGAAATATTCTAATATGCACAAAACTTTACATTATACACAAAAATGTATCAAGCTATATGGCTGTCACCTAATAGTCTGAAGTGATGTGTAAAGAACCTAGCGTCCGTCCCTAGTGTCAAACCTAAACTCAATGCTTCATAATTTTTTACTATTTATTTTTTTGGCAGCTTAACGTAACACTAACAAGTATTCCATAACTCAACATACAGTACTAAACAAAAGCTTTGACTCAACAAATAAAAGACATAAAATATAAAATGACTATTTCTGATTTGTGCAATATTTCAATGATTCTACGTGATCTGATGTGACTCACAGGTGTTTGGCGCCCTGACGTCTTGCGCACTGAAGATGTCTGACCACTTTTACGGCACCGGGGAGTCGCTGCTGTTCAGGTTCGCCCCTGAATGTCAAGTGTACAACTGGACGGGCGACAACCTCTACTTCATCAAGGGGAACAACGAGTCCTTGTCAATAGGCGCTGGAGAGTGAGTGAAATCTTAAATTGTTATTTTGCTAAATTTTAAGCCGTTCAATATTTGCATGGTATTGAAAAATACAGGTGATTTTTGAATTAATGATAAACTTTACCAACTGGGATGAAATTTTACACAATAACCAAGGGTAGGTCATGCACTACCCCAGCTTAGATAGATTTCAACCATATTGGGCAAAGTAAAACCACTGGTAATACCAGTACTGTTTAAAGTATTTTCTCTAAAGAGAGAGGCAATGAAACATTGTTCTAATTTGTTCATATTCAAATCATATCCTGGTTTTAACTATTTGTAATCCAAGCTGCTGTTTATTTTTAATATTGTAACTTTAATTCAAACTTTCATCATAGATAGAACAAGAGTTTTTATTCCTATGTTTTGGTCAGTTTTAGAACAAAATTAATTGTGTTAAATCGAGCCACCCCCAGAGTGCACTGATATAAACTACTGATTTATGTCAAACGCAGCAACCTTTATAACCAAGCCTAACTGATAGGACAAGTGGTTGTACAATAGACTCTCGCTCATCCGGATCGGCATTTGTGATTTCTTTTAGTGGCACAGTACAGTAGAAGTCCGATTATACAAGCTAAACTGGACCGAGACTATCTCGGATAGTCAAAAACTCGGACAACACGGCGGTAAAAATTATTCCCGGTGGAACTGCATTTGCCCGGCTATCAATACTGTGGACTTGAAACAAAATTGAAAAAAAAACGGCTATATACAGTACTGTATTTGCTCGACTCTCGATAGTCCGGATTTTTCGTAATCTGGACCAGATGTCCACCACATTAGTCCAAATTAGCGAGAGTCTACTGTAATAGCATATTTTATCACATCAACTATCACAGAAACAAAAACTAAGGGAGAATTATAGTAGACTAGACTAGTACAATCAACACTCAGTGACTGGCTCATTCAAAGTTCATTAAAAAAAATGGCAACACCTGGTCCATGTAGATGGGAATTCTACTGCACCATCCAAAAGCCAATGACACAAACTTAATGACTGTTTTTTTTTTGCAGTGGCAAGTTCGGACTGTGGCTGGATGGAGATCTCTACCAGGGACGGACAGAGCCTTGCAACACTTACGGCAACGATCCCCTCACGCCTTCCGTGGACTTTGTCGTCAAAACACTCGAGTGCTGGGCATTCATATAACCTGTACAGTTACCGACGTTACCGACACGATCTATATTTGTTGTATTATTTATTATTATATACAGTTTAGTCTGAGAAGATGAATGATTTGTAGGTTAGGTCTTAGCTGCATAGCCGTCAGTCAATTCATATGATATAGGATATAAATATATAGTTAGAGTTTACTGTTATCTTAATATAGGATGTATATTTTTGTCAGATAGTTTTTAGGCCGGCCAAATCGTATGGTGTGATATGTAATTTCGGACCCGACTGTTTACAATTCGAAGGATTTCTATATCACTTATTATTGTTTCGGAAGCTTTTTATATATTTTTTACTTAGTATGGATACTATGTTTTTGTAAAACATGTATCATTGTGATTTGGTTTTGAATAGCCGAGAATTATGATTGGAATTTTTTATTTAAGTTTTTCAACTTTTTAAATACATTTTTTTAGAGCCGATATTATTTAAATATTTTAAATACACTAAAATTATTTTGTCTCCTGTTTTCACATTAAGTTTGTCTTGTTTTCGAATGTGAAAGCATATTTATAGTTTTAGCCAGGCACATGAACATTGTTTTTCACCCTGAGCCTATATTCTACATTGTTTCCACTGATTACGATTGTTGAATTGCTTATTTATGACCTTTCCTTTACCCAGCTTTCCGCACTGTTGTACATTCGAGTTTCAGGCGTTGTTGCGTTTGTGTGCCTGGCCAAGACGTTGAGAACTGATTAGCGTAGGTGTTACCGGGTTTGGCCGCTGTAAATGTAAATATTGCGTTAATCTTAACTAGTCATTGCGTTATGGTGAAGATATTTTCTAATGGTCAAAATGTCGAGATCTGTTATTTATAGTGGGTTATATTAATGGTAATGCCAAAATAGAATGTTCATGCCATCTGTTGTCATAGTTTAGTTGTATGAGTGTCGTACCCACCAACAGTAAATGTTAAATTCGTAGGGGGGATATTTTAGCGTTGAAATTTGTAATTTATTTTTCAACCGTTGCGAAACCTAGTTTGCGCTTTAATCGGACCTGTTAAACGGCATCAGTCCGCAAATTGTTTGCAATACTCTCATTAATTAACTGTTTGTATGTAATATATCGTAATATTTTGTATTAAAACCTTTAAAAGTTTATGTTTTGTTTTGTTTTTCCTTTTTGGTTGTTTTATTTTTAAGTTGTATTAAGTTTTATTGCTTACTTAATTCAGCTATTACTTTTATTTATTTAAGAACAGATTTGGATGGGAGAAATATTGTTAGGGTTTTTTTAATATTACAAATACATTTTTAAAGTAAAAAAAAAAACATCACATCACATTTGAATAAGACAATTTTTAATGAAAAAATTAACAGTTAAATAATTATATTCAACGTAAACTTTAATTGGTTGAAAATTAAATTAATTACCTTTGGCTCATTTACATAAATTACTGACTCTTCAAACCATTTTGTACTAGAATATATTAAGAATAGTTATAGTGTAAATACATTTTTGTTCCTCAGGAAGTCAAATTTACAGATTGAGCCCTTGTATTATTAAATTTAAATTTTTTGCAATCCATACTGTGGTCTTGTAACCATTTACGCCATACCTTTAACTTTTAATTAATTGAATTCTTAGTGAACTTAACATCATATTTTTAGTTACATTTTTAATGTTTTAATTAAACAAGTGTAAATGTTACACCAAACTATAATTGACTTCTTTAATTGGAATCTAATACATATTCAGGTACAGAGGGTTGTTTCTTGTTTGGAAACCTTAGAAAAAATCTGAATGATGATAAGACAATACAACCACCATTATGTGAAATTTTTTTCTAAACTAAACATATACAATAAAAAAAGCTTAAAGGACAATTGGCAACTCATGGAAGTACGGTTTAAAACTTCTCAAATTTGCCGGAGGTAATTCAAAGTGGAAGATTTTCATTTCAGTGCGCCATGCCAGTCGGGTTGCTAGGTGTGCGCAAACTTGTAGCAGAACAAGTGACTGCGACAGTTCTCTTCATGTATTTTCACATCTCATGTGATCTTGTCCCAGTTCCGATCACATCCTCCGCAGAAGTTGCCAAGTATGCTTTTGGAGAGTAAAAATTTATGTGCCACGCTTTTCTGAACATATTTAACAATATGTTAGTTGACGTGGCTAAGTATAAATCGCATGCAAAGTGTGTTTTATTCTTAGCCGAGTATGTGTCTTTCCCAGAAGACAGTCTGAACCGAACAAGGGAGTCCACTGTACCTCAAACATTAAGACACATTATATTGTAATAGAGTATTTAACTTAAATTTAAAACTGATTTCAGTTCAGTGAATAATTTTCATTTGAAGAAAAATATGCTTATTAACTTGCATAAATACTAGAAGTAAGGCTTCTATGGTCACACTTAACTGCAATTCTTCGGGGTAAAATAATGTTACAAGACATTTGAGCTGACGTTTCAGCCTAGCTTTGATAGGCATTTTCATTGTAGTATGGAGCAATACTGTATACTATGTACTGCTCCGTTACTGCCCTTAAAATCAATCTTCAACGAGGCAAAAAACCAGCATATGTTACCTTAGTAGTCAATATGAAACATTTCCACTCCGAAAACTAAACTAAACTAAACTGAAATAAACACATAAGCTTTGTCTTCTAGTATTTGCTCATAATATTCAACATAAGATTAAAATCTCCTAACTCAACTTCAACTTATTTTAGCTCCCAAAACTGTTCCTTATTTTGAGTTAACAGTTTGCTTGCAACGAATACATGTTATTTTTACCAATGTTAGAGGATAGGCCTAACTGTGTAGCTGCTCTAGCGTAGTACGCATAGCTGTTGTGCATTTGCCGTGTTTAGTTTCAGTTAAAGAAGGGTTGTGAACCGAACGTTTTACATTACAGTTTTGTTATGTTTATTTGAAAAGAACCAAAACTTTCACTAGTTTGCTGAAATTTAACCAGATACTAGACTTGCTACAGGTATCTAATAAGCATTTTGGAACGTTTTCGTGGGATCCACTGGATTGTCAAGAAACCATTGGGCAAATCTTATTGAATATGAATTTTTAAGTTTTTTGTCTCTTATTTCGGTAAAAAATATTGAAGTTATTTTATATAAGTTTAGGATGACCACCTAATGTGCAGGGCCAGTTGAATGATTATGGAACCAACCAAAAATTGTGTTTGATTTTAAATGAGTTGGTATGACCTTGGGCTGTTTTAACTATAGGGCTTCATTCAAACCTACATTTAACATTATATTAATTAATTATTTCTTGAATTCAGGATGATGTGTTTTAGTGTAACATGTCTCAAGATTTTTTATTGTTTTAAATCCAATAAAATGACTGTCATTGGTTTAGTTTTATGTTCATTTGCGGTAATTATTTAAAATATTGAAAGATAACTTGTTATCTATGTAATATCAAGAAATATGCTCACCTAAGAAGATAAGACAATCCAAAACGTATCTCTGGAATCGTTCACACAGGGTCTTAGACTAAGAGACAATATCAACTAAAGTTTCTCAAAATTTGCCAGTGGTTTCTTGCGAGCTTTAAGAATCAGTATACCTATGACCATTTCTTTATAAGATTGTCTATTTTCATATAACATTCAATTGAAACTGTATAGGTATTTTATATGTATTTTAGACTAATGCAATAATCAATATAAAGGCTATTTACCTTGAATTGGCATCTCTACTGTTTTGTTCACCCTGGTCGGTTAATCGTGGTGGGATCTTAATACCACCTACATAAGTAACTATTTTATTTTGTTAAAAGTTTTGCCTTAAAATTGCCTTTACCCTCTTGGTTAAAGAGAGGTTAGAGCAAATGCGGAAAAGAAAGAAATTTGAGCGTTTTACACGCTTGAAAGATATGGTCTTCCAACTTGTCAATTTGTGACGTTATTGTTAATGAAATTCTAAATAATGAGTATTCTTTGATTTTTAAGACTCGATATTACTTATTGGTGTAAATCTTGTTTGGTTACCTTTCTGTTCCTTCATCATTCATATTGTTCTACATAGTAAGACGAGCTCGAATAGACCTTATAGAATTGGTCTGATGGAAGTTGATGTAATGTTGAATTTCTGTTAAATCAGAAGTTACAGTTTATAGGAATTTCTTTATGTGATTTACTCTAGTAGTTGATCCAGGGTCGGATTTAGGGTAATTGCAACCCGAGGTCAAATAACCTCAGTGGCTCCTTTGACGAATTTCGCTCCTATCGTGGTAAAATCGTGAATATTTCCCATGATCACTGAGGCGTCACTATCACAAAAGAAATGTGTTATAAGAAATTACTTTTGTACAAAACGCTGGGGAGTCCTTTTGCTTGGTGTTAAATCCGGCACTGCGTTGACCTACAGTTTCTTTACTTTAAATTGTTAATCTTCACTTTCATCCATGCAGTTAAATACACTTAACCGAGATTTACAATCAAAACAATGTTTAGCTACAATTTTCAAGGCTATTTTCTCCAAAAATTAACCTTGGGGAACTTTCTACCCTGAAACCATCTTAGTCGGTTGAGAACTAGACTTGTAATACCTCCTTAGTTTTTTTATCCGAGTGTTGATAATATTTGGACACTGAGTAAAACAGTTCACACTAGAATGAAAGATGCCAATTCAAGGTGACCCTATAAACTACAAATTAACAAACTAATAGTGTAATATCTAAACGATGCCTTCTGATTCTCGCTCAAACGGACAGAGTTTTCGTTGCATCTGTTACACCCGTGTGTCAGCTTGATAGATAACCTGACCTGTATAGAATATTCAACAGGAGGGCCTTTAATATATTGGTGATTATGTAATGTCTTGTTTTATTACTATCCTTACACATCCTTAATTCATTCATTGACAATTGAGTATTGATACTTTAAAAATTAAATCTGAAATGGCGACCATACGAATGTAGGTATTTTAAGCCAAGTATGAATGGAGGTGAGTGTAGGAGGAGTGGCGGGATCGTAGTCTTGTTAGTGACTAAGGCCGACATTTTTCCTTGGACACAGCTGTTTATCAATAGCCCATACAGCCAATGGCAATTAAGGGACCTACAGTTTATAGTGGAATCCGAACAACAATTTTTCCTTGTAATTAACGAATTGGTCTAATTATCAGGATAGCACTGCGGATAGTCATAGTACTCACTAGTGCGGATGTTAACACACCAGGGAGTATCACATCCACAGTGCGTGCCTATAAATATCCACAAATTGTGACCTCCTAGTTGCTGGATTACAGAACGACACCACCGTCCCAGTCGGGATAGAAGTAGATGTCCTATTCCAATGGTAAATTGTAGCCAATTTTAGATTTTAAAATTTAAATGGATAGAGTTGAATTAATCCACTGACAAAGTGAGGTGAATTACAGAATTTCATTGAATATGCAAACTTTTTAACAAAACTAAATGGAAATAGTTATTTGTGCAACTAGTGAGAAAAGGTTTCTCGAGTGAGGCAATTGTACTTTGAACTCGAGTTGCACATTATACTTTTCCTACAGTTACCATAAAACAAATAAATTTGTGAAGAAACATAACCTATTTTTACACAGAAGTGAACTTTTAATATAACATTTAATGTGAAGTGACAAATACAACAGTACAACAGCTGACCAGCTGATTTACAGCCAGTGCTGCCAACGTATTTCGCGCGCATACGACGTTGCCTGCATGTTACGCGCTCACTATTTCGTGCCTTCACGTTGCAAATCTGGAGTGAGACAAAGTAATTAGAGTGAGACAATGTTAACATTGTCTCACTGATGAGCGAATTGGCCACTTTGCTTTCTCAAATCAGTGAGAGAACATGTACATTGTTAGGTAACTGTAGGAAAAGAAAATTTACTGTAAACTAAAATGTCATTGTACAAAAAAATAAAGGAGAAAATTAAATTTATACAGTAGTGCTCTGCAAGTGGAATATGAATTATGAACTACTAGTGCACCTATTGCTTGAAATCGAGCAATTGTCAAGTATCGGTATTATACAGGAGTTATTTTAAAACTAACAACAGTCATAATTGTCGATGAGTTTGAAAGACTCATCTACAAAAGCTTGTGTAACTAATGGAAATAATCACACTATTAATAACATTTTGATATTATAATAATTAATAAACAC